TTTAAGTGATTACTTAAACAAAACAGTGAGGCTCAGGATGCTGTGGTTCGATCCCCAGATCCTCAAGCCTTGCCAGATCTGCCCAAAAGATATAAAAAAAAAATCCTTAAAATAAAATATAACAAAAAGAAACACTGGGCTGCGGCTGGGCTCAGGGCAGAGGTCCAGGGCTGAGTTTAATCGCTGTGCCTGCGCTTTCGACTTCCAGGCTCGGGCTGGCTGCTGTCCCCCACTGCTGCCCACACTCACTGCAGCTGGTTGATGATGACTATGCGCATGTGCTCCCGTGCCTTCAGGATCTTCTCCAGCCGGTGGATGTCGTAGGTATTGGGGTTCCGGAAAGGGATGTCATCAGGCAGGCCTGTGACCTCCACAGCGTCAGGGCTGTCTCGGATCAGCTTGTAGGGCACCAGCACCGGCCGGTTCAGGCCCAGGGCCTCTCCTGCGGGGCAGAGGGCCGTCAGGGAGGTGAAGGTATCCCCATGGCAGAGGTCAGGGGCCGCAGGGAGAGGAGCCTTTACCCCGAGAGCTCCCAGACCAGAGAGGGGCCTGGCCAGCGAGGTACTGACCGTATTTCTCATTGAAGAGCTCCTTCACCTGCTCCCGAAGGATCACCTTCTCCCCAAGCCTGTTGGCGTCATCCTCATCTGCGGGACCAACAGAACGTGTGTGGCTGTGCAGGCTTCCCTGCACCTGCCTTCTTCCTTCTGGGGACCGAACCCAGTACCTGGCACCGAGCTACATCTCCAGCCCTTTTGGGATTTTCTTTTTTGAGACAGGGCCTCACTACTTCCAGGCTGCTCCGGCTGGGCTCAAACTTAGTCCTCCTGCCTCATCCTCTGAGTACTACACATGACAGTGCTCAGCTCTGTTGCCTTTCCTAGGCTGGGCCTTCCCTAGTGCCTGCACTGGGGAGCCTCAGTGCCTGGGGGCCCCAGGCAACACCATCCCATGTCCCCATCTTGGGGTGTAGGGTCCTGAGCAGTGGCTTCAACCACACAAGACCCTGTTAGGTGTGGTGTCACAAACCTGTAACCCCAGCCTGTCCAACAGAGCCAGACCTTGTCTCCAAGTAAAAATGGAAAAGGGCTGCAGTCGTAGCTTGGCATGAAGGCCCTGGACTCAATGCCTGGCACTGGGGGAGGAAAAACAAAGACTCCAGCTCTGGCCTGGGGAGCCACCTCTGCCCCACCTCCAGGGCCCGGCACTGAGGCTGGCACAGAGAAGAGACAGCCTCCGCCAGCCGAGGACAGAGGCCCAGGAGGGTAAGTAACTTGCCAAGGCCACACAGCTGTGACACACCAGGAACAGCAAGTCTGTCTGACCACAAACCCCTGGTCTTTCCTGGTCGATGACAGCTCTGGGTTTCCCGAATTCAGTTTTTTCTTTTTTCTTTTTCTTTTTTTTTTGCAGAACCGGGGATTGAACTCAGGCCCCTGCCCTTGCCAGGGAAGCACTTATTCCACTGAGCCATCTCCCCGTGCCCCCGCCCCCATTCAGTTTTTCTATCTTTAAAAGAGCTGAGGGCAAGCGCAAGGGTCTGAGTTCAATCGTCGCTTCTGCAAAAAAAAAAAAAAAAGCTGATTTGTTTTTCTTCTTTTGGTGCTAGAGAAGGAACCCAGGCTTCACACAGCTGAGCTGAGACTGGGCACGAGCAATGCCCCAGCCCCGAGGACTCGGGAGTCACATCATTCTGCAGGCTGCTCCTGCAGGCCTCCATTCTGCCCAGCCCACCCCACGGGGGTGGACCCTCTGGAAGACTCCGGGCAAGAGCACCTGAGTCCATCCTGGCTACACCTGGCCCTGCTTCCATGCAGTGACATGCACAGCGCTGGCTGGAACTTAGCATCCCTTCAACTGGCTTTAAGCACTGCACTTCGGTCTAGCTGGTGTGTAGTCTCTGAAGCAAGCTGACGGGTCAGTGTTGTCCCACCCTGTAACTCCCAAAAACCATGCATGAACCTGGCGGATTGGAGATCCTTGGGACAGGAGGCTGCGAGTTCCCAGGCCAGGGCATATAAGAGTACACGTCAGAGTTCAAGCACTGACCTCAAACGTTAGATACCACCTCCAAGTGTCAGGCAGATTGCTCTGTATGGCTTTTTCTCTTATTAGAGGTAAAGGCAGGCCTCCTACCTCCTCCCAGCCCTCACCTGACTGCAAGTATTCTCACACTCACTCATCCTCCAGCCACTCCCTTCTTCACAAATAAAAATGCAAGTTCAGCCCTGGGTCGAGGCTTTTGTTCCAGCTGCCATCATCCCAGTTAGATTTAGGACCCTTCAGCTTCCCACAACTACAAAAAAAGACTTTAGTGTCTTTATTCTTGTTGGGCATTACACTGGAGTTGGTGGACTGGAATTAACTCAAGAGAACTCTAGTAACTTTTCCACGGGATGACAAGTACAAGCTTCCTGGGTCCGGACGAGGGTTCTCTCTACTCAAACTTCTTTATTTTTTTTTTCCTCCTTGGGGTTGGTGTTACTGGGGATTGAACCCAGGGCCTTTCTGCTGAGCTGTATCTCCAGGCCTCCCCCACCAAATGTATTTTTTGCAGAACCAGGGATTGAACTCAGGACCCTGAGCTTGCCAGACAAGCCCTTATTCTACTGAGCCATCTTCCTGACCCCTAAGCAGAACCTGAACTCCCCCCCCCCCCGCCCCGCAGAGCTGGGGACTGAACTCGGGCCCTTGCGCTTGCCAGGCACTTATTCAACTGAGCTATCTCCCCAGCCCCTTTAAATGTATTTAGTACAGGGTCTATAGGGCTTCACAACACAGATCAGACTCATAGTAATCCTTGTTTTTCAGCCTCCTGAGTGCTGGGATTACAGGCACGCGCCACCATGCCCAGTCTCAATTGCCATCTCAGTGTACCCAGGGGTGGGGCCAGCATGGCATGCCAGGCATCAAACCTCCAGCCCCTGCATCTGCCTAAGCAGGCGCTTTAATCTGCTGAGCTATCTGGCCACCCTTCCAGCCCTTTTTTTGCTTTCTTTTATTATAAACTAGGGTTTCACTAAATCACCCAGACTGAACTTTAGAAGCCCCCTGCCTGACCTCCCAGAGTGCTGGGGACTACAGGCCTGTGCCACCACAGCCTGGCTTCCCTATTGCTTCTATTGTGTGCACAGAGGCACAGCCCTGCCCCATAGCAGGCAGGGCCTGGCACGACTGTGTCCCCAGGTATGGCCCCGCCTGGGCCTGAGCTGGAGAGGGAGAGACACAGGTGGGCCTTCAGCCCTTGGGCCTGCACATTCTCCGCTGGGTTCCAGCCAGTTGGGTTCTAGGCCAGGGTGTGGGGCAAAGAGACGTGGGCCATAGTGCTGGGGAGGCCACGCTGGACAACTGGGTGCTGGCTTGCACGTTCTGCGTGTGCTTCCCTGTGACAGCCAGGGACGGGCACCACACCAGGAAGCACAGGGAATCCCTGCCACCAGGAGACATTGCTCTGAGCCCACTGACCCAGGTGGAAGCAGAACACTGTCACACAGCTCAGACCTTCCCTCTGCTCTCTGGCCCCCTCCTTGAGGAGGCCCCAGTCACACAGCAGAGCCACCAAGCTGGTGAGAGCAGGGGCAGGGCCACCTGGAGCAGGGCTGCCCACACTGTCCTGGTGACAGTCTCTGGCTCCAGACAAGGTGCCCTGCAGGCTAAGGCATGAGCTAGGGTTGCCAGCAGGGTCACACTGGGGTGTCCATCCCTCACAAGTGGGTGGGGGAGGCAAGGCTGGAGGAGGGGCCTTGAAGATGAGTGGGTGGTGCACACCTGTCATCCCAGCACTCAAGGCTGAGGCAGGAGGAGCACAAACTGGACTCCTGCCGGAGCAACACAGCAACAAGACCCAGGCCAGGAGCCTCGCTCCAGGACACTTGTCCTTTGGTTCTCATTCTACCCCGAGCCTGCACCTCCCTCCAAGTCCCAAAGGGTGCACTGAATTAGTGGATGACCACAGATGAATACTCCAAGCCCAGCACCTGACATCACCCGCTCCCAGGCCCACACCCTCCTGTCTCAGCCAACTGCCCCAGTTCAGCCCAAACTGCTGAGGTCAAACTTGACTCCAGGGCTCTCCCAGTCCACAGCCCACAGCGTCACATTCTGCTGGCATTACTGTTAGCCACCAAACACACCTAGGGCTGTGATTCACCGCAGGCTGCCGCCAGGGCCCTGCCCAAGTCATTACACCATCTCCCCTCCATCCCATCTGTCTTCCACCCAACAGCCGCAGGGATCCCCTGAAAACCCCAGCTGGGACCTCCCCACACACACTCAGAGCTGCCCTGGTTTCCCACATCCTTAGTGGCCAGGCACCAAGGTCCCTCCCAGTCTGACCTCATCTGCTGCCCCTGCTGCCCCCCCCCCAGCAGGTGACCTCAAGGTCTTTGCAGCAGCTACTGTCTGCCCACCCCCTTCAGGTCTTCACTCAGTGCTTCCCCAGAGCCAGTTTATCTGATCGAATCCCTTAAAAAGGGAGTGCATCATTGAGATCTGGGGAGGGCGGCTCAGTGGTTAGCACTTGCCTGGCATGAGTAAGGCTGAATTCCAGCCCCACAAAACACTACCAAAGCCACTAACAGCCCAACCCCCCACCCTGTCACCCTCCCACCTGAGCTTCTGTACTTGACAAACTGACTCACAACTCCATTCACATCTCCCTACTCCATTCACACCTCCCCACCCTGTGCTCCAGGCCCTGGCAGGGGTGGGGGTGGGGGTGGAGGTGTCTTAGAGAGCTGCCTGTGTCCCCATCCCTAGTTTTGTCACCGGACCCCCCACTTCACGAGGCTGCAAGCCACTGCACTGTGCCTGTGGTCACCCCCTGGTGTCTCGGGGTTGACCTCTGGCCTGGAATATCAATGTGGCAGATGGATTATTCATTTATTTTTTGGGGGGGGGCAGGGGAGGCTCTGAATGCCTTCAGGGCAGGTTTGGCTGGCCTGAGTTGTGGGGATCCAACCACAGCAACCTGAGCCTGACTGCTTTGTTGAAGCAGCCACTTAAAGAACTGAGCTAAGGGGCAGGCCCCCTAGAATACCAATGTGAAGGCCCCTAACTTGCCCTCTTCTAGGGAGCTCCCCACCCAACAAGTGGAGAACTCTAAGGTTCCCCCTTCTCCCCTACTGAGCCCCACAGGCAAGAAAAAGGACAGGGTCTGTCCACCTCTGTGCCCTGGGCCCCAGAGGAAAGGAGGCACTGCACCAGCCCCAGGCCTGGCAGCCTGGCATCTGCTGCCCACGGAGGCCCCATCCCACCTGGCAGATGCCAGCTCCTTCCAGGAGGCAGCGATCTTCACTGCAGCCTAATTAACAAAGAACAGTCAAGGTAATGAGGTAAGCATGTGGCTGGCGCGGATGGGACAGCTCCAGGCACCAGGCAAGGACAGAGCCAAAGGGGGGTTGGGGGCAGGGCTCCAAGGCAGAAGACAGGGCCCAGCGGAGTGTGGGACGCACAAATGGCCCTCAGGGCTTGGGCAGCAGGGACTGTGGAGGGTGTCACTGTTCTGTGGACCCTTGTGAAAATGCAGGCCCAGGAACAGTACTTTAATCTCAGACCAGAGTCATCTTGGAGAAAGGGCAGACCACAGACCACAGGTCGTAAGCTAATGTATCTAACATCACCCAGCTCAGAAATGGCAGGAGGAGCTCCCGTGCAGGCCAAAGGGTCCCATCCCAGATCCTGCTGGCGGCAACCCTACCAAGGAAGGAGGCAGGCCCTACTCAGGTCCCTTCCCCACTCAGCACCTGTGAGGAACAGGAGACCCCCCCCCAGAGGGGGCCTGCAGGTGGAGGGGACCAGACAATGCCAGAGATGCACCCGGGACAGGATCCCTGGCCTTCCTCAGCACTGGGGTGACCCCCTGGGTGCCCAGCCTCCTGCTGTGGGGACAGTGGCACGAGAGCTTGCCAAGGCTGGGTCTGCAGGGTCCAGTCCTCGCCGTAAAGCAGGGCCTTCTAGGCCCTCATGCCCAGCTTGGCTGCCTCTCCACTCCTGAACAGGCTGGGCTGGAGACATGGCGCCCTCAATTCTTCCTGCTAAGTGGAAACTGGGGCCAAACTGCTGAATCCACAGGAAGCCACAGCTCTGTCCCGCCACCTGCTGGGGGCCTGGCTCCAGGGTCCCTCCTGCTGTGGCACAGCTGGGAGGGGCACCAGTCTCCAACACTGACAAGGCTGCCTGGAAAGGCCCTTGTAACACCCTGGAGAAACCTGTGGGCTTCTTGGAGAACAGCCACTCATCTTTAGCTTAAACGTCATACCTTCCAATACTGTTGTTTTTATCCCACTCTCCCTATTCAAGAACAGTTCTAGATGCTGTTTCCTTGCCTGCTCTCATGGGTGACCACACAGGCTTTGGTTTCTGTTTCATGGTGTGTGTGTGCATGCGTGTGCACCCGCGGAGGGTCACACCAGAGGCCTTGCCATGTGCACGGTCCCCCACTGACCCCACAAGCCAGCCCTGAAAGCCGCTGCCCTGACCCCACAGCTCTGAGCCCCGAGGGCTGCTCCTCCCTTCCCTCTGCTCCACTGCTGGCTCCCTGTCTCCAGCAATCCCTGGTGCTGGGCTCTGGCCTTGGCTGCTGGCTTCACACACAGCCTTGGCCCTTAAGGGCCAGCAGTGCCTCCTCACACCCTGCTCCTCCAGGTTCTGCACCCCTCAGCTTTCCTTCTGTCCCTTCTCAAGGGGTGGAAGTGGTTACCATGGTAACCCTAAAATAACAGATCATATTGTATCATCTGATGGGCTAAAAAAACCTCTTCCAATGCCACAAAAGCAAAGCCTGGCTTGCTAGTTTTCCCTGAAAGCCAGGTTGAATCCTGGCAGCTGGTTTGGGCCAGCCAGGCTCAGGTGGGGCTCTGGCTCAGGCAGCTTGGGCTGCCGCCTGTGGAGTCATGATCTGCTCAACTGCAATCCTGGCCCCATGTCCCTGCTGTTCCCTGGAGAGCGGTTCTCTGGGCACAAGGGCTGTTCCTTGCCAAGGGCAGGCGAACGTGTGTCTGCTGGGTTCCAAGTGCACAGATGCGGCCCTGACTTTCCTGGCCAGCGAGGCCCCGAGGGTCACGAGTGGTCTCAGCCCTTCCATGGTGTGTCATGTGTCTCCCCCCTCGCTTGTGGTACTGGGGTTAGACCCAGGGCCTCTGCTACAGCCCCAGTCCTTTAATAGATTTTGGATAGGGTCTGGCTCAGTTGTCCTAGGCTGGGCTCCAACCTGCAATCTTCCTGCCTCGGCCTCCCAAAGTGCAGGGGCGACAGGTGTACATCGCCTGGCCTCACATCAGCCCTGGTGGTCCCTTTCACCTTTGCAGCTTTCCATTTCATCCTTAGGGCAACCTCTGGTCCTTGGCCTGGAGACCCTGCGGCGCCCCTACACTCCCCTTTCCCCTTCCCGCGGGCCCCAGGGCTCCGCTTCTGTCCTCTGCCTGAACCTGCTCATCCCAGCATGACCACCAAGGATCACAGTGGCTCACTGCCCAGCGAGCGGCAGTGATCAACCCTCAGACTCGCCCTGGGGCTCCGCTCTCCACATAAGTGGCACCTCTGGGGCCCGTGGGGCTCACCCCCATTGGGACCCAGTTTCTAGGTCAAATCCATTCCACCCAGGGTGGCTCCGTGCCTAGGGGTTGGGGGCGCTCTTTGGTGTGCACAGTGAACTGCGCATCTGACCCACCATCAAACCTGTCCCCGTCACGTGACTCTGTTCTTTCACCTGCTCAGGACAAAATCTTGGTACAGCCCTGCCCTTGTCCTCTCTTTCTCAGCTCACATCCTTTGCATTACTTTTTATTTCTGTAGGTTAGGCTGGCCTTGAACTCATGGCAATCCTCCTGCCTCAGCCTTCCAGGGGTAGGACTACTGGGCAGCACCTCCACATTGGCTCTGGCTGCACCTGCAACAGTCCAACACTGGCTGGACTTTCAAGCCTTAGCCCTGGCTTCACTGCAGTGGGGTTTGGTTATTCTTTAGTTCTGCAGGGCTGCAGGTAAAACCCAGGGTTTTGTGTGCACCAGCTGAGCCACAGCCCTGAGCCACAGCCCTGAGCCACAGCCCTGCCCCCCGCCGTCTGCAGCATGGACTCCTGGTGGCTTCAGAGATTGTCCTGTGTTTCAGCTCCAAGGAACTTGTCACTGTCCAGTAGGGTGCTCTGCTTCCTTCCTGTGTATTTATATCCGCCATGGAACGTGGCAGAGATCTTGGCCTATTTTAGGGCATCAAACCTGGCACACAGTAGGCACTCAGTATGGTTGTACCAGTAACAAACCAAAGGAAAAGCAGAGTCTAAAGGATTCCAGACAGGATTAACGCTGTTGCTGCCGTTGACCAGGAGGGGGCGCCAAGGGGTCACCCAGCTGGGACGGAGGCAGCGACCATGGTGGCGCTGCAGAGCAGAGTGGCCCCGAGCAGAACACAGGAGACTGGTTCAGATCTTACCACGCTACGCACATGCCTGTGGCCGTGTGAGGTATCTGTTCCCTCTCTGAGCCTTGGTTTCCTCCTGGGAGACTGCTTACTGGGCTATGATCTGTGACTGGGCACTGCTGAACTCTGTAAATGGTCGATTCAGGTTCTGAGCAAGTGAGGGATTCCAGGCGTCCACAGGGCGCCAAAGCCCAGGAGGAAAGGGAGAAAGCATTTTGAGGCCGTGGGAACACGTGTGTTTTAGGATCAAGTGTGTTGTATCCACTTATAGCAGTGAAAGAAGCAAAATTAGTAAGTTTGGGGGAAAATCTTGGAAGAAATATATTGTAGTAAAAACAAATGGCCATCTGGGCTGTTAGATTTCTGTAGTTCGCCAATTTCCCCCATGGGCTAATAGCTACATTCCTTGTTTTTTTGTTTGTTTTATTTTTGCTCCTCGGATTAAGTTTGGGACTTGTGCTTGCCAGACAGGCGCTTATGCTGCTGAGCTATATCTGGCCCTTGTTTTAACTTTTTTTTCCCCTTTGTTTTAACTTTTTAATCCTACTTATTTTTTTCTGAGGCAGGGTCCCAATATGTATACTAGACTAGCCTCCAATTTGTGCCAATCCTCCTGCCTCAGCCTCCCAGGTGCTAGAGTACAGGTGTGCACCATCACCCCAGCATTCCCTTCAGGTCAGGGCACTAGCTCCCTGGGCAGAGGTCTCTGCTCTCTACAGGCACCACATGTCCCTCACATGACCTGGTCAGACTGTACTACGTCTGTGCAGGTGGGATACCGAGTTTGGGGACGTTTAGCTCTGACTGTCCTATGGTGACGCCAGCCCCTCTGCACTGCAGGACGGTGCCCTCCATGGCCATGCTGGGCTCCACCACCTATGGGCTCCGGTGCATGTCTATCCCCAAGAGCTGGTCATGGGACTCAGAGAGCAGCCTTCCCAGGCTGTCCCTGGCCAGCCTAGTGTCCCTGTTTCACTCAGCACTAATGGGCAGGGGAGGAACTGCCGATGGCATGCAGCCCAGGGCCCTAGGTGGTGTCCTTTCTGGTCCCAGGGGGAGCCCAGCCCACAGGCCCTCATCCAAGGCCCAGATTCCTGCTGTCACCCCTGCTGCTCTGCACAGCCCAGGCCACGCCCAAATCTGCCTTCCCCTCCAGCCACAGCTGGCCGCTAGACCACAGTGGAGGAAGCTGAGGCCCTGAGCACAGATGTCATACCCAGTTGGGACACTGTTGAAGGCATTCTAGGGCCCTGTCCCCTTGTCTCTCTTATTTTATACTACCAGGGATTAAACTCAAGGCCTCTACCTGAAGCAACACTCCCAACCCTTTTTAAAAAATGCTTTGAGATAAGGTCTTGCTAAATTGCTGAATTATCCAGGCTGGGCTCAAACTTGTGATCCTCTTGCCTCAGCCTCCCAGAGTGCTGGAATTACAAGTGTGTGCCACCAGGCCCAATGTCATAGCCATTCTTAGCAGCCTAGGGAAGCCCCAGCCCCAACCTCACCTTCCCAGAATCATCCTTTGGGGTCCCCTCCCACCCAGCGCTGACACCACCAGCTGCACCTATCCCTGCAATGTCCAGGCCATCATCAGGAGAAACAGGAACAAGGACCTACCCAGCCTGTGCCTGAACTGTGACATGGTGAGGCCCAGGGCCACCTGTGCCTCATCACCCACTCCTGCTCCAGGATGACCCTGAGAGCCCAGTCTTCCTCCTGACCCAGACAGGAGCTGGGCAGGACAGGGGACAGGAGTGCAGCCCAGCACCTGAGGCCTGCAGAGGCCCGCTCTGGCCTCTACCCTAGCACCATGGCCCCTGCTCCTTTGGCCCCATAGCCAGCGCCTCTTACCAGGCTTCGGGATGAGTCCTTGGAATGGCCTGGAAGAGAAATAGAGACGGGTGAGTGGCATCTGGGGACACGGTGGCCACCTGGGAGTCCCTAAATAATGAGCGGGGTCATCCCAGCCCACTGTGGCAGAATCTGCCCTTCAATCTGGGTGTAGAGGCTGAGGCAAGAGAACCCCAAGCTCAAGCCCAGCCTGAGGACTTTGGTGAGACTCAGTCTCAAAATAAAAAAATTTTAAAAGGGATAGGGATATAGCTTAATGTGCAGGCTGCAGGTTCAATCCAAGGGAAAATAAAAAAACAAACAAAAAAACCCCAAACCAACTCTGTGCTTTACCAGGAGGCTTGGGGCAGCGCAGGCATGCTGGGTAGGCAGGAGTGCTCATTCACGCCCTGGGTGGCCTGCAGCTTCTCTCCTAGCCCTCCCAGGGCCCCCCAGAGTCCCAGGACCCACTGCATCCAGACACCCCTATTCTCCCTAAGTACCTGGTGACCGTGAACTTGATCTTGTCAGCTACGGCCAGGATCCGTTCCAGGTTCTGGGAGCCAAAGGTGCAGGGCTTTCTGAAGGGGATTCCTGGGGGCAGCCCCTCAATGAGCACTGAGCCAGGGTTGCTCTTGATCCGCTTGTAGGGCACCTGGACTGGGTACTTGATACCCAAGGCTTCCCCTGGGGGGCAAGAGGAACATGAGAGCATTGGGAACAAGAAGGGGCACACAGTAGGCCAAGCTTGGGGTGCAGCCTGGTGCTTCTTATCCTCAGGGCCAGACTAGCATGCCCACCCAGGCAGCGCCCACAGAGGCCCTGGCCTTCCTGACTCAGGACTGGCCCAGCCTGAGCAGAAGGGCTCCCCAGGGGTGCTGCCTGGGCCAAGGCCCTGCTACTCCTCCCTGGGCTCTGTGGAGGGCTGCCACCCTTGTTCTCCACAAGGAGCCCCATCCCAGCTCGTCTGGCATCACCCTGGGGGTCTGAGCATGGCAGCCACTGTGGCCCCGCACCAGGCTGACCTAACACCCAGGGCCCAGACAGGAGCCACCCTTCTCCAAGGCCACCCCAGGTGGACGAGGGACGGAGCTCCCTGCAGCAGCTGTGGGGGCTCAGAGCCAGCAGTGTCCCCTCTGAGCCACAAGGCAGGAAGCTCTTGAGCCCTGGCCGCAGGAGTAACCAAGGCAGCCATGCGCTAAGTTAACATTCATCTCATGAGTTCTGGGCACGGCAGCCCTGCCTCCATCTCCCTTTCTGCTCTGGCTCCTAGGAAACAGTCTGATTTGTGCCCCAAGTGTGGCAGGTATGGAATGCCTGAGCCATCCGTGGCTCAGGCCTCTCTGTGAATTGATGCTGAATACATTATTTTGAAGTACAAAATCTAGTGGTTTTTCTTCTTTTTTTTTTTTTTTTGGTGGAACCGGGGATTGAACTCTGGCCCTTGTGCTTGCCAGAGAAGCGCTTATTCCACTGAGCCATCTCCCTGGTCCAAGCTAGTGGTTTCTAAGACATGCACGAGGCCACAAAGTTATTACTACCAACCTATTCCAGAACAACTTCATTTCTCCAAAGCAAAACCCTCCACTCCTCAGCCGTCCTGCATGCTACTCTACAAATCTTCCAGCAACCAGTAATGTCCTCTCTGCCCCTCAGATTTTAATTTTTTGCGGTACTGGGTATTGAACCCAGGGGGCGCTCTGCCAGTGAGGTATACCACCAGCCCCTTTTGAGACAAGACCATACGGAGTTGCCCAGGCTGTGTTTAACCTTGGGATCCTCCTGCCTCAGCCTGCTGAATAGCAATATCATGCCTGGCTTGACGGTGGCATAATCTCAGGTCCATACAGGGCCTGGCACTCAACAGTCTGAAACAGAACCACCAGTTCTGGCCCTTGCTTCCTGGGAGCTGGGCATTCTCCACTCTGCTCTCCACCAGGGGTATGTATGCCCTCCCACCAAAGCGACAAAGTAGCCCTAGGTCCTGGCTCCTTTAAAGGGCCTGACAGAGTCAGCTCTCCCTCCTGGAGTGTGCAGAAGAGACGGCCAGTGCTGCTGCAGCCATTCTGCCACTCAGCAGAACCCTAGTGTGAGGCAACACGCCAGCCACAGAAAAAGAGATGGAGGGTGTCCCTGAGCCGCCAGATCCTGCTGGCCCTGAGGGCTGCCTGCTGCTGGACATCTCACACTGCTGCATCACGGCCAGCCACACTGTCCACGGACAGCACACCTGGGTCTCTCCCACCTGAATGTCTCCCCCAGTGTGCTGTCAGAGTTCTTCCATAGAGGGCCAGTGCCAGGCACCTCCCCTTGAACCTGCCCAGGACTCTGAATGTACTCTTGATTGTCTCTGCAGGGTTCCGCAGGGTAGAGCCTCACACACGCTGGATAAGCACTCTATCTCTGGGCCTTCTTCGGTCTGACCTCAGGGCTGTTGCACAAGCCAGGCTCCCTATCCAGCTGGAATCCCCTTCCCCTGCGGTCTGCCTGGCATCTCCTCACCACCTCTCCCTGGCGGGACTCAGACTCGCACCCCACCTGGTCCCTCAAACAGCCTGCACGTTTCCTGTGACGCTCAAGGAACAGCGTCCCCAAGGACTGGCCTCAGTTTAGCTGTTGACCCTGGGCCTGCAGGCAATGCCACCCTCACCCCAGCTCACCGTATTTCTTATTGAACAGGTCCTGGACCTGCTCCCGCAGCGTGTTGGCAATGTCAATCCGGGAGAGTCTGGCGTCATAATTTTCTGCAAAGGGAAACAATCACACTGGAAGCTGTCAGCTGAAAGGTACTCGGCCTTGCAGGGCGCGTGATTGTCTAATTACAGGGAGCTCCTGCTCCGGCAATTACAAGCCTAGAGTGGCCCTCAGAGCCCCTCAGCTGCGAGTGAAGCTCCACAGACGGGCACGCTCTTCAGGAAGGACGCACGCTGTTGCTGAAACAGCAATGAGCTAGAAATTAATTGTTGACATTTGAAAACAACCAAACTGATAAATAAGCCCCACAGGTGAAGAGCCTCAGAGAGTGAGTTCCCACGCCAAGTGGGGTGGGGAGGGAGCTGAGAGGAATAGGGTCTTTGGTAAGTCATGGGGGAAAGGCTAGGGACATGGCTTCGTGGGGCACAGCCCCTCAGTTCCATTCCTGGGACCACCAAAAAAAAAAAAAAAGGTGGCCTAGTGGTACACACCTGTAACCCCAGCACTCTGGGAGGCTGAGGCGAGAGGGCCCCAAATTCCAGCCCAGCCTGGGCAACTTAACCACTTAACAAGATACTATCTTAAAGTCAAAATAAAAAAGGGCTGGGGAGATAGCTCAGGTAGCTATGGGTTCAATCCTCAGTACTGCAAACACATAGACACAAACATATGGACACACACATACACACACCTAAAAAGAAACACTATGAGCTCTTGGACTCCTGAGCCCTAACCCGGCCTTCCCAACCTACCCGCAGAGTCCAGCATGGCAGGGCACAGTGGCTCATGGGGTCCCCAGGCCCTGTGGTGGCCACCCTCCCATCATCCCACTTGGGCTCCCCACATGGAAGTCGACCTCCCTGAGCTCAGCCTTACCTGGGAAGCCCTGTCTCCTTGGGCTCTCGTCCACAACGGGGTCCCCGGAATCCCGTTCTGGGGTGGGTGGAGAAGAGAAGCCAGGTGAGGAGGCAGCTCGGGCTCCAGGTGGCATTGCTGGGGGCCAGGGGCCCTGGGGAGGGCAGGGTGGGGAGTAGGAGGAAGGGGGTGGCTCGGTGCCCCAAGCTCAGGTACCTTGACTATCTGCCACAGGCTCCTTGACACCTTCAGTGAGCAGTTCTGGCCTGGAAAACACAGTGGGGCTGTGACCTGGGTCCCCTGCAGCATCCTGGAAGCAACACTGTCTGCACAGCTGTATAGCGGGTCCACCCAGCCTGGTGTCCCTTCGCACCCTCAGGACCTGGGCACGCTGGGCTCTGGAACCCTGCCTCAGCAATCCCCTTTCAGGCCCCAGGCTGGCCCCTCTGACCCTTGCTCTCGGTTTCAGGACATCATCCGACCACTGCCACTTAGGCTAGGGGTGCAGAGCAAGGGGAGGGATGGGAACATTAATGCCTAGAAACAGAAAGGGCCACTTCATGCAATTCTGAACCTAAAGCTAGGTGCAGGAACACATGGCCACCACCCCAGCACTTGGATGGCAAACTAGAGCCCAGCTGGGGCAACTTGGAAACTCAGCAAGACTCTGTCTCCAAGTAAATATGAAAAGGGCTGGGGAAGCAGCTTGGCACCAAGGCCCTGGGTTTGGACACAGGAGAGAAATGGGGGGCAGGGGAGGGCACACAGAGGCTGAGCCGGCACTGATCTGGCCAGCCTGTCTGGGCCTCACCTCTTGATGATGAACTGGATGCTGTTGCTGGCCTCCAGGATCTTGCGCAGCTTGGCAATGCCGAAGCAGTTGGGCCGGCGCAGGGAGATGCCGTCGGGCAGCCCCACCACGAACAGCTCCTCGGGGTACATCAGGAACTTGGAGTAGGGCACCTTGACTGGCTCCGAGGTGCCGATGGCCTCAGCTGGGGGTGGGAGCAGGCAGCAGCTATGCAGGGCTGGCCAGCGTGGCCTGCGTCCACCCGATGCCACTTGTCTGTGGCCTCCTCTCACTGGGGCTGACAGGGAACCACCACAGGAACAACCCGTGACACTAACACCTGGTGCGTCCTGCATGCCCATCATCCTACTCTCTGGGAGGCTGAGGCAGAAGCATGGCAAGTTTCAGCCCACCCTGGGCAACTTAGTAACTTGGTAAGGCCCTGCCTCAAAATGAAAAACAGACGAAGAGCTGGGCATGTCACACTCAGTGGTACTAGGCTTTAATCTCCAGCACCAGGAAAACACCAAATTCTTGTGGGATTTTAAGCTCACATGTCAAAATGAGCAGGACTTTAGGCCCAGCCACAGGCCTCAGCTCCCTCATCTGTGAAGTGGGGCTCAGGACAGGATTTTGTGTGGGTGCAGTGAGGGATATGTGTGAAGCCAGCGCATGGCCTCACTCCTGCACACGAGGAGCTTAAAGAACAGCAGCCCTTTCTCTCCTCTTTTGGCCCTGGAATTCTTTTTTTTTGACACAGGATCTCTACATAGTTCAGGCTCACCTTGAACTCACTATGTAGCCCAGGCTGGCTTCAAACTTGCAGCAAACCTCCTGCCTCAGCCTCCTAGAGTGCTAAGATTACACATGCACCCCTGCCCTGGCCCTCCTGGTCTAGGGTAGGCAAGCTCTGGCTTAGGAGTCCCCCAGTGCTTGGGTACACAGTTCACTACCTCCAGCTGAGGCAGACTTTGGACAAGAGCCCACGCCTGAGGGAGGCACAGGCAGGGGCTTGGTCCCCTGGGTTGGCGTCCCTTCCCCCTTCCGTGCCCATCCGGAGGCAGGTGAGTGAGCCCTCATGCTCACCATATCGCGTGTTGAAGAGCAGCTCCACCTGCTTCCGCAGTGGCCGGATCACATCCCCGTGGCTGTCTGGAGAGAAAAGGAGCCTGCCAAGCAGCCCAGGCACTGGGAGGGACCCATGTGCCCAGCACTGGCTGATCCAGCAAGCCGACCCGTGGGTGTGACCTCAGAGGAAGGCTTCTCTAGGGGGCGCCAAGTGGTGATGGGCATCAATTAGGATTTGGCCGTCCTCCCAGCAGGGCAGGGCTGGTCCAGTAACACTGGTCTCCTGATGCTGCTCATCACTGCAAACAGGAGCCAGGCTCCACCCCTGCCATGGCCCTGGCCCTGCCCCTCACCCCTCACCCCTCCTGGCCAGCCCGCTGGACTACTCCACAAGAACTACTGGAGATGGGAGGGAGGGAGAGACACAGGGGTGAGGGGCAAGGGAAGGAGGTGGGAGGGTAAATTGAGGCAGGGCAAGCTCACCCTCCACGGGCCGCTCCTCTGGCCGCGGGTCCTCACTAGGCCCTTTGTCTGCAAGATAAGAGAGTACTGGGAAACACATCTGTCACCTCCTGGGCCCTGGGGAGGGTGGTGCTACCCCCAAAGGACTAGGGCACCCCATTCCAGACATGACCCTACTTCCCCATGAAGACACAGGGAAAAGACAAGGTCCACCCTCTTGATGTGATGTCAGACGGCAGTGACACAGTGAACAAGTTTTTTTTTATTTATTTTTGTCCTGTCAGAGGTGAATATTCTATTAGCATCTAAATACTATAGGTGTTTGAATTCAACAAAACAATCTAACACTGTCTAGCAGTCTATAATATTAGTGGGTTATCCTCAGAAGTTATTGACTTGAGCCTTTTACAGCTCCTCGTATTAATATGGATTTACTTTATATACCTCATTTTTATACTTTTCTGCTGGATGGTTAAGACCAAGATATAGCAAGACCTATATACCCAGAAATGTAACTTTTGTATCTGATAAGGTCAGCCAAGTACTCTCAGGATTTATCCTGTAGTCCTGTACTGCCTTTTGTACATCCTTTTGTCAGTGTATGACATGTGGATGAGTCACGGCCATTGCTT